GGCCTCGGCCCATCGATCCAGCCTGTCCAGGTCCCTCTGCAGAGCCTTCCTACCCTCGAGCAGATCAACACTGCAGCCCAACTTGGTGTCGTCTGCAAACTTACTGAGGGTGCACTCGATCCCCTCGTCCAGATCATTGATAAAGATATTAAACAGAACTGGCCCCAAAACTGAGCCCTGGGGAACACCGCTCGTGACCGGCCGCCAACTGGATTGAACTCCATTCACCAAGAGTTTGATTGAGAACAGTATGAAAGTATGACCAGACTTTGGCCACGATGTTCAAGAAATCAGTAAGTTCCTGTGAGTAATCTGCTCAGCTGTGTCACCTTAAGAGAGTGATGTGTGCTGCAAAGTTATTTTCCAAATACAGATGGACAGTGAATTGTTAAATAATGGTAGACATAATTTTTAAGCAGTAGTAGCATGCATACACAGCACTAAGAAAAATCAAATGTAATACAGTCTGCTAATACACTCTGTTAATATAAGAAGCTGGAAAGCAGTTGCTTTTATATTTTGAAGCCTTCTGACATCTTCTGAGGTGGCAGTTTCTTTCAGTTTGCCGGCTTGTATATTGGGATGGTAGCTATCCATGCGGACATGTCTCAACCAGTCAGAGCTATTGATCTTGTTATCAGTGAGAAATGTGATCTTCAAGTTGTTCTGCCAGATTCATCTCTAAAAACAGCTGCGAATCAGTGATTGTAGTCACTGACAAGAACAAGAGGCTTTTTAATGATTTGTGAGGAAATTTGTGCTTAACACCCCCCCCAAGTTAAAAACATTAAACAGTTTAACCAACATTCACATGGCTGAATTGATGAGATTTATTTTTCTGTACGCTATAAACATGTGGCATGAATTTGCTCTCGTTACAGATGCTGAGAAAAGGGAAAGGCAAATATTTATATTGCGTTCATGTTTTACAGTAAAAACACTGTTCAGTTTGTTTATACAGTTCCACTGTTACAGTTTTTATCGTTAGTAATGAAACCACTGTAAAACAGAGTCTGAATTATATAGCAGATGTGTTAAGCCCCTAACTTTCAGGGTTGGGCATCCTTCTGAATACTGATACCATTTAGTTAGCGAGTTGATGTACTGGCTACAGCTGAACTGTTTCATACCTACATCTTCTTCTGTAGTTAGCTCTGCAATGTTACTGTACTAAAGATAGAATTTTATTATCAAGATAAATACATTGATATTTTAAAGTAAATACATTTATGAAATATAAAGCCAGTTAGTGTGAGTGAGTGCAGGAGGCTATAAAGGATTTGGTGGGCATTTTCCAAGCATTTATGACCTCATATGGCTTATATTTCCAGTAAACAGGGATAAATTAAAAATGTTCAAGTAATTTGATGTATATTTTATTTCTCAATATGGTTCTCTTGAAAATATATTTACTCTGGTTCAATTGATGGCTGGGATTCAAAAAAAAACGAATACTAAATATGAAAGTGTATGAATACTAAATATAAAAGGAAAATACTTCTTAAAAACGTGGCTGTATTTTAGCTTCTATCTACTTGAAAAGGACTACGGATATATGAAGTCAGTTTTTGATCTTTGCTGTACTGTACTCACTAAAATACAGAATTTCGGTTGCATAAAGCAAAGATCATTAATTCTTTGTAGGTATGTGACAATTTATGGGAAAAATGCATGGTAAAAATAACTTAGGTCCCTGCCCAAGGCATTTTAATTCTGGATTCTGCGGAGATTTACTTTTCATGATACTTTGTGCTTGCTACCCTGCGTAGTCACATGGACTTCCATTGTAGTGGTAGCAAGCAAAGAATTTAGTACTAAGTGTTCTCGGAACTCAGTTCTTACTTAATAAATGAGGATTAAGGAAATAGACATAACAAAATAGAAAAACAGCACTATAAAATGTTTGTTAAGCTTCTGGTTTATGTTGTTGGCACGTCTTTAAGTAGGGAACACTTTTTAATGGTGATAATATAAGTAATAAATGCAGGAGAAAGCTTAGCAATGTCCAGCAAGGTGGAAGGGAATTTGAAGTGGTTTAGCACTGTGGAACTTTTAAATGTGTAGGAGATAACATTTAAAAAAGGTCTGGTAATACGAATGAAGGAACTACTCTGTAAAAGGCCGAAATATTTGTTTTCTTTAATCTTTTTCTCAGATATGAGGAAAAGCCGTATAATGAGGTATGTTGAAATAAATTGGGACTTCTTTACAAACATCGGTAAGGCAAGCAGAAAGATTTCTACTGATAACGAAAAATTGGATGCTGGTGAAGGAAAAGAATGGTGCAACAGCTTAGCTTTATGGCTAGGAGAGATGATGGTACTGAAGAGGAATGGATAAGTGAAGATTGTTTTTATAGCAGTACTAGGGAAAAGGCTGTGATATCCTTCGAGTAGGGGGTCCATTGCTGTTTGTAAGCCATTCTGATCTTGCAGTTCGCTGTAGCCTCATCAAATCATGGAAGAGCTTCTGCGGTTGTTACTGCCTGTTTCATCCATCCCTAGGACAAGCCAAGATGCCAGAGAAAGAAAGGGTTTCTTGCTGCAAGAAGCACATGAGGACTGTTTAGATGGAGGGGGAAAAAAAAAAAAAAAAATCCTGCAGGGGCACAGACTTTCAGAGATTTGAATTCCACAGGACCCTGCTGACCTGCCAATTACAGGCTTTTTGTCATGATGGTGATTATTATTTAGCCTGGAGATGATGTTTTCTTCAGCATGGCCAGAGTTTATTAACTGTGGAGGAATAGAACTAGAGTGTTTTTTTTTTTTTTTTTTTTTTTTTTTGCGATGGTCTGGTCACTTTATCTCCTTCTGGTTTTGTGCTGTGTACAAGAGATTCATTGTTCCTGAAAATATGCTTGAATAAGGTGGTGAATAAATGGTCTGGAACATAGAGTTTACCCTACGTTCTGTCTTTAATTTTGGATTTCTAGGCTGGATTGGAATTTTGTGGTAATGTATGAATTCATAATGCTGTAGACAGCTGATAGAAACCAACAGAGCGTTCTCATAGCTGTGAGATTGCAAGGTTTTTAACATAGTGAATTTGCCATGATTTCCTCCAGTAAAGACGAAGTTGTCTTTTGAGTTGACTAAATTACTTCTGCTCTCATAATTCTGTTCACCTTCCAACATCTGCTACACATATAAAAAAAATAAATTCTAAACTGTAATTTTGAGAGAAGTTACAGTATCTTACCATTCTTAATTCTTTCCTCCAGTCAGCAGAATTTTATACATAGAATTGTTGAGGTGATCTTTTCGGTGATTTGTTTCTTTAGCACAGCCCTGCTGTTCTTAATCTGGAAATGTGAGTCACAAAATCTCTACCATGCATAAAGCTTTGTAATAGTACTACTTCAGTGCAGTATGAGCTTTTTAACACAAATTTTTAAGACACACTCCCAAGCAGAAACAAAAACCAGAATAACCACTTTTAAACTGCACTTCATGCTCAGTCTTCAATGAAATGAGACTAGGAAATACTGTTTACTCAACGATATTGAAAACCTGTCTGTAGATGTCTATCTTTAAAAAAAAAAATCATAGCCTTTGTACGTTGACTTGAGTTTAGCTTACAGGATGCAGAGAAGTTTGGTTTTCACTGGTACTTTACACATACTAGTGTAACTTGGGTTTGATCTTCTTCTGAATCTTTCTCTCTCAGAATCTATTTTCTAAAACTTTAGTGTTGTTGACATTGAAAACTTACTATAGTCCAGGTAGATGCGTTCTTACATAAACTGAGTTCTGCTATCACTGGGTTTCTGGTTGTTGGTTCTGGGAGAGGAAGGGGGGAATTAAAGTAGCTCGTTATAATATTTTTTTTAAACACTCTTCACAATTAATCTGATTGTAACATAAGCTTGTAATATATTCCATTAATGAAGAAGACAAGCTTAGCTTACAGTAAATACAGTACTAAGTGTTTATAGTGCATTTCATATTTTACATGATTCCCTTTATAATTCTGCTTATCTTTTCATTCTGATTCCCTAAAGGATGTATAAAAGAAGCCCTAAAGAGAGTAATTACTGCTCTATTCCTTAACCAAGGCTCCTTTTGCAAAAAGAAATCTGAGCTGCTTTTTAAAGAAGGCAGTTTTAAATAAAAATGCAAATAAGCTGCTTTGTAACCACATTAATTACCCACCTAGCCTCTTATTACCATGTTTGTATTGTTTGCAAACACTATTTACAGTCGTGTGGAAATTACCATTCCTGGGCCGGAGGAAGGCTGTTGTTGGTAGGTTGTGCTTTGGAACCAATTAGAGTGAACCTTGTCTCCAGTGGGGCTCATGGGAGAAGGTATAGCCTTGCAATGTCAAATAACGGCATTAACTCAGACTGCACAGGCACCGTGTTGTAATTATATTATTGGCCCTCTTTTGTTTCTGCAATGAGTTTCATTCTCTGCATTTTAAAACTTAACAGGCAGCATTGTGTCTCGCTAATGAGTTAATATGTACTGTGATAATTTTTTATGAAAGTCATGGTGAAATCCAGTGGGTCATTTTTGTCCCCAAATTGGTTCTTTGCTTTAATTATATAAAAAGTAAACAAAAACCCTAATGCTTATGTTCAAGATCTCATAGACTTCCATGTAATTATTTTTCATGGTAAAAACCCAACTTTGTTAGCATATTTCATTATCAGAAGTCAACAGGATGGAGTATCTGTTAGTATTAGTTGTAAACAGTATATTAGCTGGCAATAACTGAATGGTCATAGGTCTTTCAACACTTTGAAGAAACTCAATGCTTCATGGTAAAATGTCGTCTTATTTGTTAAGTGAAATGCACTCTTGTTGCTAACCTAGTATGTGTTGTGTTCTTCTCTCGGTTTTCTGCGTCACTTATGATTGCAAAATGGGCCTTTACTCTAAAAATTGCTCAGAAATTAAAACTAAACCAAAGAGATGTCTCAGCATTTATGCTTTTGGAGTTACAAATGTTTTCAGATCCCAAAGAGTTTAGTTTGATGGGTCACATGGTCTGCAATGTGAAGAACTGGTTCTTTAAGATTTATTTGTTTTCTTAGGCTTGTAACCATTCTGCCAATATGCTAAATGAGTCTTTTGAAGTAGAGGAATTTTTCTTGGTTGAGCTTAGTATGGGGAAGAAAATGTAGAGAGATTTTCTTCCTACTTCTGAAACTGTACTGTGTGTATCTGCAGCGCTGTGACAGTGGGATAATGTTTAAAGAATGCTTGCTGATAAAGAGAAAGATGTTAAGGTCTGTATCAGTTCTACTGTAACACTGAATACAGTAGAGTAGGAAAATAGCAACTCCAGCACGGTCTAGTATGACTCTGCATAATTGTTATGCATTAAAAAAAAGAAAAAAAAAGATGCTCATTGCTGGATCACTAATAGTTTTTTACAGTGGCAAGGGACTGATGTGAGGGCGTCAAAAGAAGCACTGACTTGGTTCATGATCCACAATAGCTTATAAAACTGAAGATAATTATCTGGCTTATATGACTACAGAGCAGCGTAAATGACATAAAACAACCATAGATGGAGTTCAAGAGGAATACAGAAGATTTATAGAAAGTAGACTTGCTAAGTACAGTGCTCAGAAGGTACTATTAATTTGTTTGCTTGTCAATGATATTTTTAAATCTTTTATTACTGTGAAGCCAAAGCATCATATTTTTTGCTTATTTTACTGTCCTTTCTAACTTCTCTGCATCCTTTACTTCCCTTTTATCCTGATAATTTTCTTAGGAGGGGGTGAACTGGGGATGGTAGAGTACTGGACTTTGCTTGATCCCCTGGACTTCTCTTTTATCTCACTTTGTGATACGTAGCACTAGCTACAAGAAATTACACTGCTTTCTTTGAAAATCTCCATTTAGCAAAGCGTGATGAGCACAATTGTTTATCATGTGTCCAAGGAGAAAGTGTTCCAAGTGGGGCGCAAATGGTCATGATTCTTTAGGTAATTTCACAAACTGATAATTGAAACCTTTGGTCTGTCCCAGACATACTTATTTTTGTATGAACAAGATGATTTATTATCTGCTTATTTAACTCAGTTGGTTAAGGCATTAGGGTAAATAGACATGATACCATTGTGCTGATAATATATATGATTTTAATAAGGGCCTGTAAATCTAAGGTATATCTATGTGCTGCTATTCAGAAGAATGTGTATTTATTTTACTTATTAAAAGGTCTGTTTCCAAAGCCCACTGAAAATACTAATTTTCTGTTGCCTTGAAGAGTTTTGGATCAGACCCTAAATGCATGTAGATTGTTTTTAAGGGGCAGAACTTTAGCTATATGTCTGCAGCCATTTGTCCACACTTAATTTGCAAGTGTTGAGATATCTGCCAATATCTGCCATAATTTGTGTTATTTAATGTTGGACATGGAAAGGTGAGTGTACTCTCCTGTGCTTGTTTTTTTAAATCTGGACCTGTGTTACTGAGATTTATTAGAGCTGTGTTGAGGGAGTACACACAAGATATAACTACCCTTTCATTATGAAGCGGGGTAATTTAAAAAATCTTTATTTTGCTCCTTTCTGTTTTATGTCTTGGAAGGAAGCACTTCACATACGTGCTTTCCCAATTGTGCTAGAGGGGAAAGCATGCGTTACATCTGAATGCAATTTGTCCTGTTAAAAATTCATTTTGATTTTTACTTGTGACTTGCCATGTGAGAACTCTGAACCAGAGTGAATTAGATATAGTGCTACCCCTACAGTGAGCAGGTAAAAACTTTCTTTCTGTTTTCTAAACAGCAACTCTTGTTCCTTTAATAATACTCTATTCATGAGGGGATGTTTGTAATGAAAAATTACATTGAAAACACAATCTAAATGTTCTGATTTTTGCACTAAACCACTATTCATTTGGTCCCAATAAAGACACTCAGTGCATCATTTTGCAGAAGCAGCTGTATTACTCAGTATATAAAAATAAGCAATAGTGTGCTAAACTTGTTCTTTCCCGTATTTCATTTGAGGTCACCTGAGATGCAGCATTAACTTCAACAATAAACTTCGCTTATCAAACAGAAATATTGAATTAATGTAACAAAAGGAACATTTGGGGTAGTTTTTGTTAGTTTGTTTTTGCTGGAGACATGCAAAACAAGCCTTGAACCACCTAAATAAATCTTGAACAGCTGATCCTAGCATGTAAAGAATGAACGAAAAATTAGCATAGAATATGTAGATAAATACTTTTGTATTTTCATAAGTGT